TTAAACTGACTTTGATTACCCTGGTGCTTCTTTCCAATGTAACAAAAGCACAAAGAACAGTAAATGGTGCGTTGCAGAGAGGACTTACAAATGCCTGCAAGAGGCACACGATCCCGCTGTAGACCTCGCAAATACTGACGTCTGTGCAGCAGGCAACGGTGCAAGTCAGACAGATACGGCTTTTAAGTTGTGCACATTCTATCAAAATTCAGTCCTTTCTAACTTGTCCTTTACTAACTGAACATATGATAATTGTCCCTTATTAATAAGAAGGACTCTAAGATAATGTGGAATGACATAGTAAATGCTCTCTCTAATCTAGCAAAAAGTCCAACTGTGAGCTTTGCCACTTAAGAACTATGCTTTTAGAGAATCCTATCTCTGAGTTTTCATTTTCTCATCTCTAGTATTTGGGTTAAAAACACTGGACTCTTGGGATGCCTGGGTGGCTCAGTGTTTGAGTGTCTTCCTTTGGCTCAGGTCATGATCCTGGGTCCTGGGATCGAATTCCACATTGGGGTTCCTGCAAGAAGCCTGTGTCTGCCTCTGCCTATGTCTCTGCCTCTCTCTGTGTCTCTCATGAATAAATAAATAAAATCTTAAAAGCACTTGACTCTCAGTTTCTCCAAAAATTAGAATCTCACAGAGAATTAGTGTGCCCTAGCGTGGCATGTGATACACCACACAAAGTACAAAGACGGTATCAGAAATATAAGTTATTATAGATCCACTGGGCTTGATCTCTCACAGTTTACTGTGAAGGGGAAATCATTAATCTCTTTGCTTTTCATTACTGAATATGAAAATAATCTATTTTTCTACATGATAGGGTTTAAGGTTTATATCAAAAAACTTCTGTTCACAATAATCCCAATTAATTCAAACCTTCAATTAAGAATGTCTTACTCATTTTAACCATAGTGGAAAAAAAAAAAACCCTTTGGTTATAGCTTAGTAAACATCTGATAAATCTCTTAAATATTCAGAACTTCCATTATAGGTGTTTAGGTGTAAGGCCTTGAAAAACACAATCGATGGTACATTACGTTTACTTTGCATATTGAATTATCAGAGGATTTTTGACAATAAAGGATGAAGTTAGAATAATTTCTTTGGGTTTCCAGTTCACCAAGAATACTGGCAATTCAGGTTCTAGATAAAGGAGGTTTGAATTTGGTTAAGAATATCAAGTTTTCATTTTGTACCCAGATGTGCCTATTACCAATGTATTGATCTTCACTTCCAAATTCATCCTTCAGAATCTGTTCTGTGATAGTGAACTGGACTCTTAAACCATTTCTCCCTTATAGTGAGCCATATGAAACTCTGTCAACTGTCAGCCAAGGGAAGCAAAGGTACAGTGCAGAAGCCAGAAGTCAGGAGCTTCTCCTCCTGGTCCCAGTGCTACATTTTGCTTTTACTTGCTCCAGCTGCTTGGTTCATCCATGGTGCCTTGGGGGGGTGGGGGTTGTTGTTGGTGGAGCTTGGCCCCAGCTGTGCTTCTAGAATACACAGTCCCCTGGTGACTTCTCATCCCTGGCCTGGGCTGGTGACCACCTTGCTGCAGCCCTCTTGATGTGGATACTGTGTATTTTAGGCCACAGCAACACTCCAACTCGCAGTGCACACCCATCCACCTCACCTTGGTAATCTAACCTTGGTTCACTTGCATTCTTGAGGGTTGTTTCCTTGTTCCTGGCAACTGAAGAACAGCTCTGGCTGGCCTCAGCAACCAGAGAACTTCTCTGTCATTCAGTGGGTGGCAACCACACTTTTCTCCAACAAAGTCTGACCTCCAGACATGGGGGACGGCACTCATGGGGAGGTTGTTCTTCCTTGGGTCCTCTCTCTCAATCTTAGGTTATCCTGACTTCTCTTTACATTCTCATGGTTATTCTCCTATCATAGCTTAATCATTCTTTAAACCTCTCCTGCTAAGTTAGGTGTGATTTCGTCCTCCCGATTGGACCGAGACTGATCCACCAGGGTCTAATCAAACACTTTACCCCCAAGCCCTAATTTATCTAATCAAACACTTTCCCCACAAGCCCTAATTTATCCTCTCACCACCTATACTATGTTGATATTGTTAAAGATCATTTAGAACTTGCTGGATATTCAGGCACAAGCAAACTTATAGATTCACATAATCAATTTATATCTTTTGTTGGGACAGAAGTCCTGGGTTCACTTTGGTGCCTCTCAACTTATTAAGTTCCTTTTTTCTACAGCACTTATAATGGCACCAGCAAAATATTAAGCAATAGTGTAATAATTTCACAGAGCAGAATAAATGGTAAGTTTCAGTTGAGAAAGCTAGAATTACTTTAACTTATATTTCAAGGTTCATGCTTGGTCACCTCCAAGAATTTGCCTCCATTTCATTCACATAAAGAGGCTTGAGATTGTCAGGATTCGCAAGCAAACAGGAATAGAGAAAATGTCTGGGGTCAGATGACATCAATAAATGGTCACCTAAGCAAAGACTTCTATTTACACAAAACTAATATTGGTATGATAAGTCCTAAGAGTTCAAGTTACTTTCCTATTTACCAAAGGAAGTTTGGCCTATCAGTGATACACTTGGGAGAAAAAAATTCAAAAGATAGCTCTGAAGATATTATAGTCTACTAAACTGCTTTAAACAAACACTGGTATTTTTGGGTAAGTGCTCAGAATAGCACCAGCTGTGTGTGCTTTACAAGCAAAGGGAAAAAGGAGGGAAAAAGAAGAAAAAAACCAAACCTAGGTATATTTGAACTAGAGAGCAAATGTGACAATTAGGACATGATGAAAAACTAATTTGGAGCCCAGTTATTGAACAGAAACTTTGTCCTTTGAAACACAGATACATTAGAGACCATGTCAGTCAATCCATGGACCTGGCACAGAAGTCATTTTCCTGAGAACATATATATTGCCTGAAGAGAAATTGAAAAATTATACTCTCTGTGAATTATAAATTGTTTTATTTTTCTCCCTGAGGTCAGTCATCAGTGGTTTTGTGACATGGAAATGCTTTATTCTTCCACTTTAAGCAATGGCTCCAAGCTTTATTGTGTGTGATTACACGCCATTACAAGCACAGGGAAAAGAATTGCCTCTTTGGCCAACTTTTATTCATAGCGCTCCCCCAGTGCTCTGCCATTAGTGCCAATCACTAAACACACCTTGCTTTTCCTCAACCCTGGGTTCAATCAAGGTGTGGAAGCCACACCTTTCTTATTAATCATTGATGTAATCTTGCCACCTACTCAGACAGCTTCTAAATCATAGAATAGAGAGTAAAAGTTCAGTAATATAATATTGTAGACAAATGGTTTGTTCTAAATTCTCAGAAAATGAACAGTTGAGTGAATCAGACACTTGTCACATTAAAAATGCCTTTGCAGGGGGGATCCCTGGGTGGCCCAGTGGTTTAGCGTCGCCTTCGACCCAGTGCCTGATCCTGGAGTCCCGGGATCGAGCCTCACGTTGTGCTCCCTGCATGGAGCCTGCTGCTCCCTCTGCCTGTGTTTCTGCCTCTCTCTCTCTCTGTGTGTGTCTCTCATGAATAAATAAATAAAATCTTTTTAAAAAATGCCTTTGCGTATCTCCTTAGTGTAATAAATATACAGGCTACTTCTGACTTTTGGAGGGAAAGGAATTCTTTCACAAACTTCTGGGCTTGGGGCTTCCCGAGTTAAATGCTCTCATTCATAAGTACAACACAAAACTGTATCAGTCTGAGATTTCTGTTGGGTAGCCATGCATCCTAGCCCCTTTCCTCTTTTAAATTTTAAATACTGCAAAGGCACCATGTTCCCCGTGAGGCTCCCACACGTGGGATGAAACCTTCTCTGCGGAATTTTGGCACCCTATTAATTAGTGGTTATGAGTGGGAGCTGCTCTCTCTCAGCAACTCCTATTCTGCCATCAGTCAAGTGTGATTCTATAATAAATTCCCACGAAGCAAACTATTTCTGGTAATTCTCCCTAATTAACACCAGGCCCGCTAATAATACATCAGTACCTATGTGTTTCTGATATAATCAAGATCTTGTCTGAGAGTACGCAAAAAGGGAAACCGCCAACCTAAATTAAGCTTTTGCTGGCAAAAAGGATTTTATATGTAGTTCTGTAAGAAAACCTTTGATAATCTTATATTGGGGACATTTTGACCAGAAAACACTGAACGACAGGGAGGCTTGTTTCTGGTTTGAGCACTGAATGGGGATTTATTGTGAACACACACTGTTGAGTCTTAAGCCTATAAATCTTGCACTGGATTACTGTTTCTTAACGAAGGAATGACAGATCTCTTATTTTGTTGGTGCATTTTAATGTGCAATGACGTGATTGATAGAAACCAAACAGCAGCTATTAAAATGTCAAATGCAGACTTGATGCCCTTATAAGTTTGGCTTCTGGAGTTTAATATACTGTGAGCAAATAGACTTGAATTTGTCTTTTATTTCCAATATACAGCCTGCAACAGAAACATTCCTCTTTATACAGTTGGAAAAAAGTCTTACCCAAACCAATAAACAAATGAGGAATAGATGAGCCTACCTAGTTATAGAAAAGTTAACTAATGAGATCAGGATGAGTTAACTATGAAGTAATGAACCCTGGTTGATTAAAGCATGAAAATGTAGATGGTGACTTAAGTTGTTTTAGTATGATATATAATACAGCTCTTGATATGACAGGTTATTCCAACAAGCAGTTTCAGCAACAAATATTTTCTAAAACAATGGGGCTTATTTATGTATTAATTTACAAAGATGTATTGTGTACATGCTACATGCAGAGCATGAAAATAGATTAAAGTAGAATAAATGTGACACTCTTTTCAAATGTTTTGTTTCTGGGATATTTTGATAGGCAAATATCATAAAAGAGGGATTCTCCTGAGAATCATTACTTCTTTTCCTATCCTGTAACACTATTTTATTCCCATGATGCCTTCATTGGAAACCACTTGCCATCCAAAAAATAAAACCCAGGAGAACTTGTTTGTATCACTGCAGCCATTTATTTATTATGTGCACATTAAGGTATTACTATACTGATTACATTTCTCACATGGTTTTTAATTAGAAAATGTATCCAAAAGCAAAACAGTACAGATGTATACAAACGTAATAATGTGAAGAAACAGAAAATAGAGATGAACAGATAAGGCAAATGATACTCTGAGAATCCAAACCCAATACCTTAAAACATCTGGAGGAAAAGGATGACAAACTGAAGCTGCACTAGATTTGTGTGAAATTATTCAGTTTTCCCTTCCCTTCTGTTTGAAAAGCCTCTTTTTTTCAATAGAGATTATTTAAAAAGCTCTAAACATCACAAAAATGTTAATATAACACTAGATTCGCACTAACAAGACAGAGGAAGGAATTATTTTCTATAGAAGTGGTCCTATTATACTACCCCTTGAAAATGGCACCATGAAAACATTTTTGTTGTAGATAATTTTTAATCATAGGCTACACTAATATTTTGAAGATTTAAATTCTTATTTCCATTTGTCTTAATACTGTGACCAAATGACTAGGCTTTAGTTTTAGACTCTAAATGTAACCTGAATCAACAAGAAGTATGTACGCTACTATAAACATAAGCAGCAGGGACCTCTCTAGGCTGCCTTTCTAGCAGGCAACATTTAGCCTTTGTAACTCTAGAAAAATGTTATAAACTGGAATCTATCATTAGTATTCTGAATCTGGGAAATACAAGTAAGGGATGTTTAAGAGTCATATACTGTAATTTAAATCTGTCTTATACTAAGTACAGCATTCCAAAATATACATCAAGAAAAACTAAAAGTAAATGCTCTACAGTAAAGAGGTAACAATTAAAAAAATGCTACTGATATGGAATATTTATAATCAGAAAAATAAATATTCAGGGAGCTCACCAGAAGAATAAAGTGCTCTGCTTGTTATTAAATGCTGGTGCATTAAATATGGCATTCCCTACTGGAAAATACAGAGATTCTTCTGGGTTATAATCAATATTTACTTCATAGGATTAACTGTTTTAGCAACAGATATAAAGCTTTGCCACAAAGAAGGACAAAGCACAAAGACAAAATGATAAATTAGGAAGCAATGTTATCTTTTTAGGGATAAAATTTAGAGGAATGCAACATTATGCTCCATGAATAATGTACACAAAGAAAAGTCTAATAAAAATGATATCCTTACTTAATGTAAGTTAACTTAATAAGAAATCCAGGTCAAATAAAATTCTTGAAAGGAAATACCCAAATGCAACTGACTTTTCAAATACTATCTTGGCATAGAATCTATAAAGGTAAAACTAAACAACCAAAAAAAATCTCTATTACATCCAAACAAAACCACCAATTTACTTTATACTGTGTAAAGCAGGAGACCGACACTAAGATATGTGACAATGCACATCAGCCAGCATGAACTCTACAGGTGGTTTCAGCAGCAATGAGAAATAATGTACAATTCAGTTCCAGCACTTTATTTCAAAAATAAAACTTCCTGCCTCCCTACAAATGCAGGGTGAGGAGGTAGTTTGGAGTTGCTACTGGTGAAGCCCCTTCATGTCACCCTTCTCATGCTTTTATTCCCAGTTAAATTATTATCTGCATATAATATAAATCTCCTAGACTATAAATTAACAGCTTTCAGGACAGATGCCTTGAAAAGTTCTTAGGGAGGTTAAACAAATATTAGAGCCTAAAGCCTCCCTCTATAACAAACATGCACACAATGGAAATGAAGTCGTTAGTGAGCTACGGGGCAGGAAGGACTTGGAGTTCTGTCTCAACTTTAAAAGCACCTTGCCCCAGACGAACTGATATTTTACCTTAGTGGTATAATGGGCTTCTGTCCGTTTTGGAAATAGAGAAAAACTATCTAACGTCATAATCTGTTTTCTCACTGGGTAAATATGAATAGGATTCATAATTTCACCTCAATTTTTGCTCTGCCTTCATGTATTATCTATAGAATTTTTCTCCAAATAAAGAAATAACGAGCCAGTCTGAGTAACTGACCACGTTCCCCTCCTATACTACCAACCTCTGGGAATAAAAGCTTTCTAAGCTTTGTGATCACATTTGGAAGTGGTTCATTTATTATTCAGAGAGAATTACTATAAGGAAAAAAACCCTTAGATTTTATCATATCCCCAAGCTTTACTTTTCTAATGTAGAATTAAGGAAAAAATTATTCTGCAAGGAGAGTTCTCAGCCTTTATCAGTCAATAGTACAAATTTGAAACTGATCTAATGGCTTCAGGGTCTGAAAAGGGGGGAAATTTTTAAAAATTTTGGATACAGTCCTCTGATTTACTCTGATTCTCAAATACCTTCTTTTCTACTTACTCTCTTAAGTATGAGGGAAGGGGAAAAAAATGGGAGTTTGACTAATACAGGTGATACAACATATACAATGAATAGAAACGGTCATATTGTAATAAAAGGCAAAAATCTGAAACATAAGCTATGTGGTGGCTTTTTGGTGGGGCGAATGAGAGAAATATATAACATCTTTTTTTGGCATGGCACATTTTGATGGAAAATCTCATTGGTCTTTCCAACTGGAATGGTCAGGTGTAAGACAAAAAAAGTACATACAGTTTTTTAAAAACAGACGCCTACTACTGATAAAATTCTGTTTAAACTACTTCCTATTTTAAAGATAAGTACTATTAAAAATACATTTTATTCATTGATAGAGTGTAGGGGCAATTTTCATTGTCTTTGACAGATTTACTCAGAACTACCTAACAAGGAAAGAAAGTATAATTAATTCAGCATAGATGTTAGAGGCTTTTATTCTAAAATTTAATTCTTCACTAATTTATTCTATGATGAATTTAATAGTCAACCAGGAAATTGGTTTTTATAAAAGTTATTTTATGAGCAGAAAATACAGGAAAAAAGTAATCATAAATGCCAAACTGTCTCTTTACTTTATGAAGCCAAATATTTCCTCATTGACTTGGTTTTTAAAGCTGGAATATATCCCTTCAGGGCCACTATTATTTTTCAAAATTCCTATAAATATTAAATCTAAAAATTAATTGGTAATTCTAATTCTCCTCTTTCTCTTCAAATTTCTTCTCCTCCCCTGAACTATTGACTTTCAAAAATTCACAGAATGAGCATGTTTCTTGCAAAGTGGCTTGTCCTTCTTGGAGAAAAATGTCTGACCTTCCAAACTTTCACAACATACCTGAAAAAGAAGCATTATTTAAAGAATATCATTATTTTATCAAATATGCCTGAAAAAGGAAAATGATTTTTCACTTGATGGATAAAACAAAGCACTTTAGTTGGCTGTATCAGACACTGACATTTAACGATTACTGATACTTCATGTAATTTTCAAAAGCATTAAAGAATGACTTTTTCCTAGAATGCATTCTAATTTATTTAAATCATTGATCATTACTTTTTTTACTAGGCCCTAATAAAAAAAACAGACACATGAAGAGGTCACATTAAATGTAACTTCTCTCGCTTGATGCTTTAAATTTGCCTCCTGTTGTAGGAAATCAAAGCACTCAAAACGAAAATACCATTCAATTGCTGTACCAAACATTCCCAAGCCCCCAAACACATAGGCATAGCATACCTGAGAATTCTTTTTAATTCTTAATTTTAATCTGGCTATTGGATGATTATATGGTCTGTTTATTAACCGCATTTATGTCTTGTCTTTCCTATTGCCTTTCTTAAGTATAATAACATAATACAGCAGCTCTACCAGAGAACAGAAGGTAAAACTCTAAAAGTTGTTGCATTTTATAGATATCATGAAGTCTAAGAGGTGGATGACATAAACAAGATGAATTTAATGGTCAATCAGCTAATGCTTGGGGAAATAATTTGATTTCAATTAATGCTACTTTTTCCCCTTCATACAACATGTATTGAAAATTATTAGATATATTAAATCTAATTTAAAAATTCAAATATCTGAACAAAATATCTTTATTGGATATAGACTTTCTCAATTAAAAAAAGTCTTAGGGTAAATGTGAATCTCTTCAACTATCCTCATTGTTAAAAATAAAAACCAAAAATATTAAAATATCAAACATAGGTAAATCACTACATGTTTATTATAGTCTCAAAAAAATATTCATGTATTATTGCTAAGGAAGTGAAATCAACATGTAGTCTGCTTCCATTCTTAATTCAACAATAGATTTTTAGAATTGTTTATTTCTACTTCAGGCACCCAATGTTTCAAAAAATTACTAAAAATACTCCAATAAAATAGAATTTTTAAGAAATGTAAAGGACTTTTACTATTTTAAGAAATACATAGTTTGGGCAGCCCGGGTGCCTCAGTGGTTTAGCACCGCCTTCAGCCCAGAGTGCGATCCTGGAGACCAGGGACTGAGTCCCACATTGGGCTCCCTGCATGGAGCCTGCCTTTTCTCTCTGCCTGTGTCTCTGCCTCTCATGAATAAATAAAATCTTAAAAAGAAAAAAAAAAAGAAATACATAGTTTCTCCTTGCAAAACACAAATTTATTGAAAACGGGATTTTCTCTAAAGGGGTAAGCATCTTATTTTGTGCCAAATAATTCAAAAAATGCCAAAAATTTTAATGAACAATTTTCAAAATCACCATAAAAATACTTTTAGGTGTGAAGGATTGAAAGACACAAGAACTGTTATTTCCATTTAGTGCTTAGGCTAAAACTGGCCATATTGTGCTCTTCTAATTTGGAAATAAGAGTTAACTTACTGAGCATACAAAGCAAGTGTCATGCCAGGTATAGCCCAGAGCTTCCAGGAACATGTCGCCAGCTTCTATGGGAAATTCACATCCATGGCATATGGTACCAAAAAGGGCATAATAATCTGTATTGGGGGGGGGATGGGGGGGGAGGGGGGAGACATAATTGAAACATGAGAAAGCTTTAGAATAATAGTTCCTAGAAAGCACCAACAAAATTGGAATTAAATGAGAAGATGAAGTTACTAGTAACTGGAAAATGTTCAGAAGGCATGTTTGGCTTGAGGTATATGGTAGCATGTTTCAGGTTACCTTTGGGGTAAATATTATTTACATAACTTAACGTCCTTTATTCCATTTTTCCACATAATACTCCTCACTTATCTCCAGCTGCTTAAATGTCCAAATATGTATCAAGAACAACTCTGTTCCCTGAGAAGTTATCAATAGACATGACTGTTTTAACAAAAGACAAGAAAACTTCCAAAAACTAGCAACAGTTAAGACTAAAGAATGTAAGTCAAGAAGAAATATCTGATATTAGCACATTTCATAGAGTATCTGACTTGGTAGGGAAGAAAAACAGTCACAAGAAACTTCCATGAGTAAGTGCCATGACTAAGTTTCTAGCTGGACTCTATCATAATGGTATTAAGCCACTATTCTTTTGCTGCCATTTCCTTTCAATTTTATGACTTCAGGCTGAAAATCCTTAGCCAGAGCACACCATTTACTTGACAGAGATTACAATTATAAAATACTAACAGAATTTCCCTCTAAAGAAAGCAGTTTTAATGAAAAGTTTATTATTACTAAATTAGAACTTATTAACAATTTTCTTTTATGTAGCTATTCTTACTACTTGTGTTTACTCAATAGAAAGCAGATTTTCATTTCCAACTTGATTTATCTTTCTTAAAAATCTTCAATATTCCTCAGCACCACTTGCTCAACATATATACATAGAGTCCTACTATGTGCCAGGCACTGATGGGGGATATAGGGGTGAAGACAGATGTGCCTACTCTCTTTACGGTGCTTACATTCTCATTGGGAGCAAGTATTGTCATTTATTGTATTTTTAAAATAAGTCATAATAAATAATTTCAAATTGTGACAAGAACCATGAAGAAAACAGTCATGTGATACAGAATAGTTGGGTGTAAGTATGTAACAAACACTCCATTAAACAGGTTAGGAAATGCTTCTCTAAGGAGGTAACAGTTGTTCTGAGATTTGACTAAAAAAAGGCAAATATCACCACAGAAAGCTGAGGAAGAGCATATCAGAAGAAACAGCAAGTACAAAAGCCCTGAGGCAGGAAGGATCTTAGCATGTTGAGAAAAGCAAAAGGGCCAGGTATGCCTAGAATCCAGTGACAGAAGGTAAGGTGGTAGAAGATAAGGTTGGCAAAGCAGGCCTAGTAAGGAGAATAGTACTCAAGTGGAAGCTGAGAGGTATCAAGCATAATCTGAGTCACATTGAAACCAAATATTATCATAGCTGCTATTTGAGGGTCGGGGAAAAGAAGATGGGCCATTTTAGTTGGTGATTAGAGCCATTCAGCAAAGAGTGAGTTGGATTTAGTTGTGACTATCGAGGTGGAGAGGAATGAATAAATATACACTGGGGTTTGGGATAATGGATTGGCATTTGAGATGGGAAAGGCTGAGTAAATAATAAATATAGGAAGTTAAAGAAATACAACAAAAATAGATGAAGTTGATTAGAAGTGACATTTAAATAAATCTACAATAATATTTTTTCCTTTTCTGTAAGCAATATTTGAGTTTAAAGAATCTGACTTCTTAGACTACACTAAATATGATATTAAAGCTAGATAGTTTTATATGTATTTACTAGATAGGGACCATCTGCCAGTTAGTCAAAATGCAAATGTTAGACAGTTGCACGGCTTAATTTTAAAACAAACAAGCTCTTTCTTCAGAAGAATTAGGTGAAATTACAAAATGTGAAATACTCTGATTGAATCAAGGTAAGCGCGTTGCAGCCATCTTGTCCCAAAATAGCCCATAGATAGGATAAGTTCACTGGAATTTTCATAGAGCTTTCTGGTTAATAGTCTGGCATAGACCTGGACTGGTCTTAGCTAGGAGCTAAAAGGAATTGAGTGAGCAATAAAGGGTGAAGTGATGTTGACTAGCCTCAAATCAGAAGGTGACTGCTCCTTTAATAGTGTGCTGTATTCCTTTCCTCCAGCACCACACTTGGAATTTCAAGGTAGATCAACAATTAAACTCTATATGGAAGTACTGTGGTAGTGAATGTAGGCATGACAAAGGGAAAATATTTTATTTTTTGAAACATATGTGTGGTACTAATATCTAAGTAAGAGTAATGTTAATAAATGTTATGAAAGTTCACTTTATATAGCCTTTGGGAAAGAAAAGAAGTGTTCAGAGCTCAGGTAATTAAGATAAATGTAGTAGACTGGTCCTTAGAGCCCAGTTTATTAAAAATAATTTTACTAGGGAACAATCCAAGTCAAGGTTACCCTCCCATTCAGTAAGAGAAACAAAGGACTTCCAATTTATTGTCAAGACAGTTGCCTTAAAGAGCAAATCGGTATCACATTCAAAAGTTGATAATTTCTTTTTTTTTTAAAGTTGATCATTTCTAATGTTTATAACCACTCAAAATTCACTGTTACAGTGTAAGAGGTGGCTTTAAGCTACACAACTTGGTAGCATTCATATCCATAAGTAAGATATTTTCCTACTAGGTCGTGCTTATATGCTCATTTCTCTTAAAGAAGTCGAGAATATCTGTTTTGATGAAGTCACATAAAAATTTTACATAATTTTTTGCTGTATATTTAGAGTAGCTTTAAATGTCCCTTAAAAACAGTTAGGAAATCTATTTTGCCCAGTATTTCCTTTCAGCTTTATAGTAATATAAGGGCTAAAGTTTTATCTTTATTCAAAACTTAAGAACTAGTGGCTTTAGGATCTTACCAGTCTCACAGTATGGTTCACCATCCTCCAAATGAAAAACATTATTACGAATGGGTTTTCCACAGGCCACACACACAAAACAGGAAACGTGCCAAGTTTGTTTCAAAGCATTGATGACTTCCTGTTAGAGAAAGGTATTTGGATGTAAAGAAAGATGACAATACAAAAATGCTTATTTTACTAGTTGTACCAACATAGCCCTTTTTAAATTTTTTTTTTTAATTTATGATAGTCACACACACACACACACAGAGAGAGAGGCAGAGACACAGGCAGAGGGAGAAGCAGGCTCCATGCACCGGGAGCCCGACGTGGGATTTGATCCTGGGTCGCCAGGATCGCGCCCTGGGCCAAAGGCAGGCGCCAAACCGCTGCGCCACCCAGGGATCCCAACATAGCCCTTTTAAACTGGCCCAAAGTAGATACATGCTTTTGTCTTTACTATGAGCTTTTCCTCTAAGTAACAGATGATACTTAAGGACACACTCACAAATCATCTAAACTGATACACTATATAATATGTGTGTTTCCCATAAATACACATCAATAAACTTAAAGAATGATTATTGTGTTTTTTAAACATTACACATGTGATGAATAAAGTAATAAGCATTTCCTAAGTGCTTGCTAAGAAACATTCTGCTTTCTGCTTTCTTTCAAAAGGGTGTCAGGGAACATTAACTTACAAAGGTTTCAAGTATTATCTTGAAAATGTCATGGAGGAAAAAAAAGAAAATGTCGCGGAGGAAGGGCAAAACATTTAAAAATTAAAACAAACCTATGCTTTGGTGCATTATGGAAGCAATAACATAATCAGTGTAATCCAATCAGTTTAGCACATGTTTAGGATTCTGGAAATCAGCTATGACTACGCTAAGCACATACTCAGATGAGTGTCTACAATTTGAATTATAAAGTGTGGATTCTAGTCAACAATGGTGCTAGGGTTAAACATAGCAATATGGAAGACTTGGGCCAGATTTTAATTAGTAAAAGAAGTCTTGAGAAACTGGTTTTGCAAGGAATCATTTCTTTGAATTGAGAGAGATAGAGTCCATTTAACATTATTTTTGAAGAATAGTTAACAAAATGGGAATTTACCATTTCCATAATATTTATCACAAAAAAGAGGATGCTACACATAAAGTATGGTTACAGCTTTGTAAATGAATTACTTACAAAGAGCAAACGGGGAAGAAAACATATCCTAAGGAAGTAAGAATTGCCTGGGATTCGTAAATATATAGGCCATTTAAATTTTCTTTTTTATATTTTCTGCTATTTTCTAACTGCTGTAGACTGAAATATTTTTCATAATAAAAAATTGTTAAAATAAAATTACACAGTGAATTATTAGCCTTAGAAAATGCCATACCAAAATTCACACTGAAGGATACTGAGGAGAAATGATGGCTTAGCTCCAAAAAAGATCACCATGAACATGTACAACAAATTACACTGAACCAAATCATTTCTCAAGGTTTTTGGCATTTATTTCCCTTTCTATCCTTGAGATAGATTACTATTCCTTCTTTAATAGGAAATCAAATAACTAAAACACAATCCAGAGAATCTGTCTCTGTAGTTTCTGACCCATCTCTAAGGCAATGAGGGTAAGATTTCCATTTCCTAGAACCTCATCTGGTTCAAAGACTGCTACCTGACTTTGTGTTATTATTCTAAAATTTATAGAATATATTTATATACTAAAAGAATATTAATATATATTCAACTTATTACTTGTCATTTGGGAAGTTACAGCCTATATCATTCTATTCTTTTGTTCCCAATATATTGTACAAATTAATAATATAGAAGTATTTCATGTAGTATATTTACAATTTAAATGTCCTCAAAGATTTAGACCCATTTAAAGATGTAATCTGAAATTCTATGTATTCAAAATTCATACTAGCTTTTCTCTCAAGATATGAATTAAAATTTCATTATTATATTTTTATAGAGAGAATATTAGAATTCAGCAATGCCATTTCTATCCTTTGTATTAGCTATATGAGCTTCATATGACATCAGGCACCTTGGATGCTTCTAAAATAAAATTCCAACTCCTGGTCACCCATAGGATATGATGGACCCTTTATTTGTAAATTGCAAATGGGGTATTCTAGAGCAGGAAATTCATTCATTCATTATTTATTATATATCTGACTCCTAAATTACTCCTTTTTTGAAAAGAAAAAAAAAGGTGCTTATTTTTCTATCACATGTATATGCTCATAAAATAGGTTATATTTTTAAACATTATATGCATTTAAGAAAAATATATCATTTATAAGCCTCATGTTTTATGTATTTCACGAGATCTGTGCCCTGTGCTTGAACCCTGACAAATGGGGAAATGCTGCTCTTATAAAAGCTATGGAATTTAATTTAAAACAGTGAAGGTGTCAGTTCTGAGAACTCTGATGTGTGTGGTCCTGTGCGACCTCTTCATTCCTGAGCAAACAGGGTCCTGTTGAGGTAGCACACCCACGTAAATTATTTTTTCCCTACAGTGGCTAGACTTTCACTAGACAAGCGAGCACTCAGTAAGACAAAACCAAAGACAACTTAACTCCTTGAGTCTGATACACTTCTACAGAGGTCTATTTAGTTTTACTTTACAATAATAAACAGTGATGAAAACAGAGAGGGGATCAAGCAAGAAGAAAATAAAAAGGAAAACTGAAGGAAGGGTTTCAAAACAAAAAAATTATTATGCTTTAAAGTTCACTCAGAATAAACAGGTTTCTGATAACTTACTCCAAGGATCTTCCTTTGGCATCGACCACATTCAGGAGCAAAGAATTTCTCATAGCACAGCTCACAATACAGGGCTCCCTTTTCCTCTACAAATCCAATGTAGGCCATTGTATTTTTGCAGTGAGAACAGTTAAATTCTTCTGGATGCCAAGATTTCCCCAGTGCCACTAGGAATGGTCCCCTGCCAGAAGAAAGAAAGAGATCAAGTTGGCTTAGGAATAAAAGTTTCTAAAGTTAGCTTGAATAGAACCTCTTTTAGGAATGTCCAAACAATTAAATACTTGCTCAATTATCCTTCTCAAGGGTTGAAAACTTGGGTGCTGTAAATTTACATAGCAAATCTCTGAGTATTTATGTGAAGAGAAAAAGAGGGAGCATTAAAAAGCACTTAAGGAATTCTTTCGAGAAAGGCCTTTTCCCCCACTTTTTTCCATCTTCAAGAGATTTGGTGGTTATGTTTTTTGAGCTGCAATGAGTGGCTCTGTCTGTGTATTATGATTATGAGTGAGAATGAGGATGTTAACTCTAACAGAAAATGAAGTAACCAGAAAAAAATATATGGTTTAGGCAGAGACAAGAATTTGACATTTCTATAAAATAAACAAAAGAGAAATCTTAATTTGGTAATGCCAGTCTTAAAAATGGTAATAATTATTACCTGAGGAAACGCTGCAGTCAATTTCTGTTCCCCACACATTGTTTCATTACTTATTTCTTAACTCTATTAAGCATATCAAATGTTTATAACCCCTCCAAATAGACTATGGAAACTGTCAGCTGGATATTAAGAGACTGCTTTGAAGCTACTTAGAAAAGTTTTATTTAATTAAAACATGAATGATTTTTAATGCACATTTGTATCAAGGTAACAAATGTTTGTAAAGAGATTTTTTTCCATTAAATATTATACAGTCATGAACTGATAAGATGGGTTTGGTTTGCTTGACAGGAATCCATTATGAAGCCTTATCTACTCATGAAGCCTGCAGAAATGAACCATTCTAACCTCTGCAACATACTTTTCAGTAGCTCCATCACACTAATTTTTATTCACAGAGTGGCTTTACCTCCAAGGCACTTTTACACTTATCCAATTTGTCCATGCAACATTCCTGTGAGATAGACCAGGGCAGTTATTACAAACTCAGTTTAACAGATGGAGAAGCTGAGATACAAAATGTTCAAAAGATATGACAAATATCATAAAATCACTGACTGAGTGAAGGTCAGAAGCTGAATTTCCTGATTTCTAGTGCTGGTGTAGTCAACTGATATTCTGCTTTTCATCTCATTACCATCAATTATCATCACCGAGTGGCAACAGAGTAATTGTCAGTAAGCAAGGATACCTGACTTCTAGGCAGATTATTAATAGGAAAAGTCAAGAGTAATGAGCATCACAAAATAGAAGCATTTTTTTGTCTTTGACAATAACATAAACTTTAGTATTCTGTAACTATTTCCCATTGGGAAATTCTTTGGATATACACTGATGTTTACTCAGAACCAGCACCTAATTCTGCAAGTCAAAAAAGTAAGAAGGCTCTTGATGAATGATAAAAATGTATTCTGTGAGGTATAAGAGGGTATTTTCTAGCCTCGTTTTGTGTTAACTTGTTTTTTTGTTTTTGTTTTTTTATTAATAACATGCCAACTTTTATTGGCTAGAGCATGCAATTCTCAGCATTTGAGACAAGTAGTTTATTATTTTTTTTTTTCAGCTTTAGGGCACCATAAGTTTTGTTTTGTTATCACTAACAAGGAACATCTTTGTTAACTGTTTCCTGCCAGAAGAAAAGGGCTACAGATCATTTATTCTGTCACCAAACTTTGGGCAGGTTGTCCTTCAATTTTTAGCTGGATTATAAATAACAGTCCAATACTCAGTGAGTTCTTCCCCCTCTATTTCTCCATATGTATTTGGCAAGTAGATTTAAAAATAAACCAAGGCGTCACAATGCCCAAAGCTAGATAAAGTTTTATGACTGTGCAAAGCTTTTCTACCAATTGGGCATCTAGTTAAATAAGCCTGAAAAATCTGTCAGGTTAAATTTACTCTGACCACAAGATAGGGTGTGATAGAACTCTGTTACCATTTGTTTGAACACTAAAGCAGAGTCCAAAGAATTTGTTAGGTTGAATTTTTTTATTAGGGCACATCTTCAGCTCTTCCATAGGCTGGATGGTCCCTTGAGGCCAGTACCCTTATTTAGCTTTCCAGATTGCAAAAGAAGTCAATCCAACCTCACACTGTGCACTCCACAAAAGTATGGTATCCACTTGGAGTAAAAAAAGTTTACTCCTGGAACATGGCCATCAGTGCCACCAAATATTTAACAGAATTCATCTGAGGAAGAAAAAAAAAACATTTAGGAACAACTGATTGATAAACATATAATCCATTTTCTAGATTTTCTAAAATATGTGTTGAAATCAAGTCAGACTAGCTGAGAAGGAGGGTCTGCAACTTACAGCATACCGGGCCCAACATACTCCACAGAATTAGTCCCTTAACAACTCCACATGATACCATCAGTCTGCGCTGACATGTGTCATAGGAAACAGCTCTGTAATAGTCACCCTTGCTTTTTCTCTAAGTTGCTATTGAGAGTGTTACTTGTTAGATCACACAGGTTCATTTTCACATGGACTCCTTGGAGAAAGTCCTTTCAGGTTCTTGTAACAAGAACAGTTTCGCTTCTTCTGAGCAATAGGTTTGTTCTTTTACTCATTTAATAGTAAGTTTAAAAATTCACTTTCTTTTTTCGTTGACCATTAGAAGGCTTAAAGCCAAATTTAGTCTAACCCCAGGCAAGCATGTAGGTCATTATGATAGGTTTTGTCCAGTCTCGATAGCAAATTTTTGTCCAGTCTTCATTTTTAATGGTCCCATTCATGATTTTCATTCTTCATTTGCCTCTTTTGGAATTTAGGAGATTTTCTTATATTACATGTATTCTTAAAAGTGTTTTAAAATGTTTCTAGAATAGTGTCTACTACAAACAAATTGATTAAATTTAATTGAATCGTCTATTAAAGGAATAACTTCAAGATATTTCCTTAGTTCCTTATCAAATTTGAATAGTGAAATGTCTTAACAGTAAAGAAACTCCCTCTGCACCTTTAAAAACTGAACTGAAAATGACCCTTGCTCCTGCCAGATCTCCTTTCTTAAACATGCTCAGTGCAGGTAGTGGCCTAGCTGGATATTCCCTGGTCCAGTTGAAAGAGCATCTTTTCCATAACGGCTTGAAGTTATGTATAGATTAAGTAATTAAATCTCTTACATATAACAAAGTACTCTCTTCTCTGTCTTAGCAGAGACTGATTTAACAAAATCATTAACACAGGATTAATACTGTAGAAGTTCTTCTTGTTCCAGGTAGGACTGGTTTTCCATTTGTGAACTGGAACAACAGGCATGGGTAACTGCAACATGGAATGAAGTCTGCTTCTACCTCTTACTATATTCTTCCCCATGGCCCTTCCCAAGTACTCCTTGGTTGAAAAAAGAGGGGACAACAAGAGTTAAAGCACTGATTGGCTGAGAGAGAAAAGTTACTCTACTTATGAAACCTCTACTCTGTTTATCTTCTGTGAGACTCATGCCAAAGAGAGAGAGAGGAAAAAAAAAAAGGAAGTAACAAAGGCAGGAAAAGATGTCAAAAGGAACAGGAAAAGGAACACCAATAAAAAATAAATTTATTATTAAAAAAAAGAAAAAAGAAAAGCTTATATAGTGAGAAGGTGAAAGGGATTACAAATTTCAACAGGCATAATCTAACAGGGATTCAGTTTCAAAATCAAATGTGTGCTTCTTACATCCCTTTATTATTTAACTCAAATGATAAAGCTTAGTAATAGAAATTAGCTCTATAAATAGATGAAGAAAATATGAGAAGCTACTTAACATTCCTAAGAACATGTATATGATGATTTCTCCAAGGCCCAGCTACTTGAGATTAAAAACTGTATTTGACCAAAAGTTACTACATCAGTAGGAGCTAAAAACAAAAAAAGCTAAGAAAAACAAAAGAAGTTAATCAACAAAAGTTAAAAACAAAGCCACATAAGGGACACCTGAGTGGCTCAGTGGTTGAGCATCTGCCTTTGGCTCAGGTCATGATCCTGGGGTCCTGGGATTGAGTCCTGCATCAGGCTCCCCGCAGGGAGCCTTCTTCTCCCTCTGCCTATGTCTCTGCCTCTCTCTCTCTGTGTCTCTTATGAATAAATAAATAAAATCTTAAAAAAAAAGTCACATAAAGAACCAACTCATGCTCAAAAATAAAAATAGAATCTGATACTCTACTTAATTAGATATAATAATAAAAATGTATAAACCAGTTTCATATTACGGTCAAGTTTTGGGTAGGGCCTGGCATGAACAGAGCCCAAGAACAAAGAACCAAAGGAAGAGTTTTCTGAAATAGAAAAGATTATTGGGAGAAATTGCACACACACAATCACAAATACAAGGCACATGCAGAAAAAGAGAGTAAGAAAGAATGAAACACCCTTGAACATGATAGTAAAGCACACTATCAAGACTTAGAATACTCACAATTAGCAGTATTAATAAACTTACCCTCAAATTAGAAGTGCTGTACTTTTGATACCCTTAATTCTTCATTTCCAGTAAATTATGTCCAAACTTCCAATTTGGAGCATTAAATAATATAGTTCTACCTTCACTGAGTATCATCATCTTTAATTTGTAAGCCCTCTAAAATACTGCATTTATTTATTTATTTTAGATTTTATTTATTCATTCAGAGAGATATAGTGCGAGACAGAGGCAAAGACATAGGCAGAGACAGAAGCAGGCTCCCTTTGGGGAGCCCAATGTAGGACTCCATCCCAGGCCCCAGGATCAGGACCTGAGCCAAAGTCAGATGCTCAACCACTGAGCCACCCAGGCGACCCTAAAATACTGCATTTAAAAGGTTGTAAGGCCAACTAGCTTTTAATTTTAAAGACCTAAATGACCCACTGTTCAAGAATAAATTCATGGGTAAAAAGAGCCTGAACATAACAGTGAATAAAAAAGACAAGTTCTAAAAAAGGGTAATATTGATAATTCTTTAAGCCTATTGGAGATAATTATACTCGGTTATTTATATTCAGTATTATAAAATCTACAAAACAGGAAATATGTTTCTATATATTAAGACAAATGAGAGA